TGATCATACAGCTGATTGTTGATCACACAGCTGATCATACAGCTGATCGTACAGCTGATCATACAGCTGATCATACAGCTGATGGCACAGCTGATCGTACGGCTGATTGTTAATCGTACAGCTGATCGCACAGCTGATCGCACAGCTGACTGGTTTTTATTTTAAATCTTCCAGAATTATTTTTGTGACTTTTTTAAATCATTCATGAAAAATCTTAATATATGAAGTATACAAAAATAAATAAATTAATTAAAAAAATGAACACATTTTTATAATTTCTTTAATACGACGGTGGAAGCACAGTGAAGTATTTTTTAAATTTGACATTATATTTTAAGACAAACTCGGGTTAGTCATCTTACCTGTAAATTCTGCCAAACGGTGGGGCGGGCCATCAGGCTGCCGAAGTGATCGGCAAATTTCACGTCAAGAATGTCCTGAGCGAGGATCTCGTAGGGGTCGAATGCCTGCTCCTAAACGCACAAACACACAGAGGATTTTCAAGTGTTATTAATAATAAGGATAAATAAATACAGGTATCAAACAAGTCAGAGTCAGAGTCAGAGTCAGAGTTTCTTTATTGTCATTCGCACCTCATGTGGTACATGTGGTGGAGCGAAATTATGTACACAGGGTCCCAGTTACATCCATCAATAAAATGTATAAGAAAAACAGTAATGACATCTAAGATATGAACTAAGAAAAACATCAACTAAATATACACTAAGCACTAATAACATAAAACATTGAACATCAGCACAAACATGAACATGAGTCCGTGAACAGATGTGCACGCATGAACACACCAACATTGAAACAGATCAGCAGCAACATTGAAACAGATCAGCAGCAACATGAAACAGATCAGCAGCAACATGATATGGTTTTTCACAGTGATTATTCTAGTTAGAGATTCATGAGTCTAACAGCCTCAGGGTAGAAGCTGTTCCTCAGTCTAGTGGTTCTACACTTAATGCTCCTTAACCTCCTTCCTGAGGGGAGTGGGGCAAAAAGTGTGTGTGCTGGGTGGGTGGGGTCCTTCATGATGCAGGTGGCCCTCTTCCTGCATCTGGAGGTGTAGATGTCTGTGATGGTGGGGAGGCTGATTCCGACAGATTTCTGTGCAGCCTTCACCACTCTCTGCAAAGCTTTTCTTTCTGCAGCTGTGCAGCCTCCATGCCACACATTGATGCTCGAGCACAGGATGCTCTCCACTGCACACCTGTAGAAGGAGGTGAGGACTGAGCTTCCCAGACCAGCTCGCCTCAGCCGTCTGAGGAAGTAGAGTCTCTGATGAGCTTTCTTGATCAGGCTGGTGGTGTTGTTGCTCCAGCTGAGGTTGTCATTCATGTGTACACCCAAGTACTTGTAGCTGGAGACCACTTCCACCGCAGATCCTCTTATGTTCAGGGGGGTGTAGGTGTTTTTGTTCCTTCTGAAGTCCACAATCATCTCCTTTGTCTTCTTCACATTGATGTGAAGGTTATTCTCTCTGCACCAGCTCTCCAGGTGTTCCACCTCTTGCCTGTAGCTGGACTCATCATTGTTTGTGATGCATCCCACCACCGCTGTATCATCTGCAAACTTTACAATGTGACAGCCTGGATGGGTAGCTGCACAATCATATGTGAGCAGAGTAAACAGGAGGGGGCTCAACACACATCCCTGAGGAGAGCCAGTGCTGAGGGTTATGGTGGAGGAGGAGAGGTTGTGGATCCTCACTAACTGTGGTCTGTTTGTTAAAAAGTCTAGTACCCAGTTGCAGATGGAGGGGCTTAGTCCTAGTGTGGATAGTTTGTCCATCAGGGTTTGGGGGATCATGGTGTTGAAGGCGGATGTGAAGTCCACAAAGAGCATACGGACGTAAGAGTTTTTCTGCTCCAGGTGGTTGAGTGCAGTGTGGACCACAGAGGAGATTGCATCCTCTGTTGATCGGTTCTCACGGTATGCGTACTGATGAGGGTCCTCGTTGATGTTGATGGTTGTTTTGATGTGAGTCATGACCAGTTTTTCGAAGCATTTAGCGACTATCGGGGTGAGGGCCACTGGCCGATAGTCATTCAGACCAGTCACTGTAGAACTTTTTGGAACTGGGATGATGGTGGCAGTCTTCAGGCAGGTGGGAACTGTCTCCAGGGTAAGTGAGGTGTTAAAGATGTCTGCCAGCACCTCACAGAGCTGATCAGCACATTCCTTCAACACTTTTCCGGGGATGTTGTCTGGGCCAGTTGCTTTGTGCGGATTAATCCTCCTGAAGGTACTCCTTACTTCTGCTGAGGTCACGCTGAGATGCTCTTCATCCGGTGGCGAGGTGAGTCTGGTGCTGGGTGGTCTGTTCGGGTCTTCAAAGCGTGCATAGAACTTGTTGAGGGCATCAGGCAGAGATGGGTCTTTGGGGCATTGTTCGCTCCTTCCTTTATAATCTGTTATGCACTTAATGCCCCTCCACATGCTCCGAGGGTCTTGTGAGATGAATTGACCCTCGATCCTCTGTGCATATGTGGCCTTGGCCCTCTTAAAACAAGATACAACTTCCCCCTTATGTTTTACAAGAAAGAAGAAGCTAAAGATGATGGATATTAATTTTTTTAATTAGCTCAGGAAGAACATGGCAACAGCCACAGAGACTATATCCATCAAAGTTAAGTCAGGTCCTCTGGACGGTTTCTGTTTGTTGAAACGTTTCGTCTTTCATCCAAAGGACTTCATCAGTCCGAGGAGCCACAACAAACTCAGTCTTATAAACAGCACCTTCACATAGTGGGCCAACCAGTTTGATGGTGCTCTGATGGTTTCTGGAGTCCACCCTCTCTCCCGCCGCCTTGTCAGAGGCAGTTATGGCCAACGTGGTTCAAAACATCAAAGTTCATGCTCATTACTCCCAGTAGAAAAAATGGCCACATAACAAAAGTACTGAATACAGCACATTATACACCAGTCAACAAACTATTATACAGCAATGCAGGCATCTATAGCAATGGACCAGAAAGGCAAAGTCCTTGTATAACTTTTGACCTTGATATGTGACCTTGACTTGTAATTCGTAAACGAAGACGCCATTTTTCTCATTCAGAACACCTGACAGAACTCTAAAATGGCTGCTGTGCGACAGTCCCCATCCAAGTCTGTCCAGGAACTTCCTAGTTTTTTTTATTTATTATTGTATAGAACAGCCTCAAAGTAAGAAAGTTTCTTTCGGCTGCTCCTCCTTCAGGGGTCGCCACAGTGAGCCAACTCGCATGAAAGATTTGGCCATGTGTTTTATGCCGGATGCCCTTCCTGATCCAACCTGGACTCGAACCTGCAACCTCAGGATTACAAGACCGCGGCACTGACCACTGAGCTACCGCAGCCCCTGATCTATACAAAGCCTATATTAAAAATAAAAAAGTTTTAAAAGAAAGTTGAAATTTGTATCCAAGCAAACTTTTTATGATGTTCACAATGTTTAGAAAATGATTTAGTTTCTTTCTCCAACGTTCAGGATTTTGTTTGAGGTTTGATCAAGAGGCATTAGTTTAATCAACGATGGTCTCATTATTACATCCCAGTCCTCTAAACTCTACACAAATTGTAAAGATTCCCACGTCCAATATCCTCAAGATTAGACCAGAAAGGCTAAAAACCCAAGCTATCTTTAAACTCTATGACGATCTTATCTTTAAACTCTGGCACGAAACACCACGAGGCCTCAAACGTTCGTCCATGTGTTGCAGTGAAACGTGGACGTTTCTGGTACGAACCTCTGCCAGATCTTCAAAGCAGCTGCCCACCAGCGGATGAGGACTGCCATCAGCGGTCATCTCCACAGCGTCCTCGATGAGTCCGAGGAGCTTCACCGTCAGCTCGTGGATGTCCAGGATGTTACTGAAGGTCACCTCCACGTCCTGCAGCAGCAACAAGACAAGTGAGCCGAGAAACATCTGCTGAACTGTGGCTGCAGCAGATCAGGGTTCTGGAAAACCATTTCCTTCACTATTTTCTCCCTTCATTGTTCCTTCTTTCCTTTTTCTTTCCTTCTACCTGCCTTTCTTCTTTTTCCTTACATCAACCTCCTTCCTTCTGTCTTCTCCCTTTCTTCTACTTTCCTTCCTGTTTTCTTCTTAACTACCTTCTATCGATATTATGACTTCCTTAACTTTTTTCTGATGAAAGACAATAATGTCAGAGGAACCATTCGTCCATCAATGTGCCATAACTCTATTTCTGGCTCTTCACTTTCTTATTCCTTGACTTCATTTGATCACGTGGCGTTATGTGACATTTCATCTTTATTTGATAAAATGAAAATTTCTACCGGTCCAAATGACAATCTTTCAGCGATGTTGTTAAAAAAGGTTTTTCTGTCATTGGTCCCTGCACTGTAGATATTTACAGTACTTCTATTTCAACAGGTGTTTCCAAGCTTGTTCAAGCATGCTGTTGTTGAGCCATTATTAAAAAAAGCAAACCTGGATCCTACAAAGTTTGAAAATTACAGGCCACTCTCCAAGATCCCGTGGCTGAGCAGCTAATCGCTCACATGGAAAAACATGAGATTTTTGACAAATTTCAGTCTGGGTTTCGAAAGCTCCGCTCCACAGAGACTGCTTTACTTAAAGTTTACAGTGATATTTTGATGTCAGCCGACTCTGGAGAATCCACGGTGATGGTTCTCCTAGATCAGGGGTGTCAAACTCCAGGCCTCGAGTCCTGCAACTTTTAGATGTTGCACTGGTCCAAAACACCTGGATCATATGACTGAATTAGCTTCTCAGTGCAGTCAAGTTCTCCAAAGTCCTGCTAATGACCTCCTTATTTGATTCAGCTGTGTGGCATCAGAGACGCATCTAAAAGTTGCAGGACTCCGGCTCTCGAGGCCTGGAGTTTCACACCTGTGTCCTAGATCTAATATCTGCCTTTGACACTGTTGAACAAGGTATTTTGATTAACAGGCTACGGGATGTAGTCGGTCCATCAGGCTTGGCACTGGAGTGGTTTATCTCCTATCTTTATGGGAGAACAGTTAGCGTTTCTGCAAACCAAATAATGTCAGAATCCAAGAGCCTGCTATGTGGGGTACCTCAGGGCTCAGTGTTGGAACCTATTCTCTTTCTTGTTTTCCCCCTCAGCCAAATAATAAGTCAGTTTTCAGATGTGTCTTATCATTTCTATGCTGATGATATTCAACTACATTGTTCCTTCAGACCTTCTGAACATCACAAATTATCCTCCTTGTTAAACTGTATTAACAATATCAAACAGTGGCTCATTGACAACTTTCAGCAACTTAATTGTGACAAAATTTAAACTCTAATTATTGCTCCTGACAATCAAATATCTGAAATTAAACAACACCTTGGTGTATTGGCCTCTTCTGTCAAACCAAATCTCAGAAACCTTGGCATTATTTTTTATTCTGCCATGTCATTGCAGTGCCACTCTCGTGGGTTAATCAGAAATTGCTTTTTTCAACTAAGAAATATTTCTAGGCTCAAGTCTCTCGTGTCAAAAGCCAAATTAGAGAGGATTATCCATGCTTTTATTACATCCTGTCCGGATTATTGTACAGTCTTTTCATGTGTTTGACTAAGAAGGATCTTGATCGTTTGGAGACAGTTCAGAATTCTGCTGCAAGGCCTTTAACCAACACACGGAAAAGACAGCACATAAACGCCAGTTTTAATCTCTTTACATTGGCTACCGGTACGTTTTAGAATTCATTTTAAAATTATAGTTCTTCCTTTTAGAGCCCTACTCCTCTTCGCATGCATCGCCTCTGACTTTGCGCTGCCTTGATTCTCTCCAGAAACTGTCCAGATGACCCGACTGAAAAATGTTGGGATTGTATACCTGGATTATTGAGCATGGACTTTGTTGATTCTCTTAATACTTTTAAAAGGCAGCTGAAGACACACTTGTTTAGATTGGCTTTTAATTAGTTTTATGTAGTCTTATGTCATACACATGTTGTTTTATCTTTTACCGTTTGTGTTCTTATCTTGTGTTTTTATGTCTTTTATTCTGTAAAGCACTTTGTGGTTTCTGACCTGTAAAAGGTGCTACTTAAATAAAGTTTACTTAATATCCAATGATTTACCTACTTGGAATCTGGTGCTCTCTCTAGTAGTCATTGTGTGAGAGGTGGGGGACACCCTGGACATGTCTCCAGTCCATCACAAGACATACAATTATTCTCACTCTCACTGGGGGACAATGTAGCTAATGAAGCTAACATGCATGTTCTTGATCATGTTAACAAAGCAGCAGTAATGTTTTTCATCCATGTAATATCAAGAACATTAAACTGATGAGAAGGAAACTCTGAACGTAGAGACTGAATGAACTTTTGGAGTCAACCTCATTCAAGAAGAAGGCCACAGCCAGAAGACCGTCTTCTCAATAAAAGATGGTCCGAGTTCAGAACTTTGGTGTGAAAGGAAATGGGTGATATGCATTCAAGGAATTTTAAGTCTCTAATTTAGGTCATGTTTTGAGCCTAACGTGCATCCAGGGAGTTGGTGGTTTGATCTCACATTTTCTGACCAAATGCCAAAGTTTCTGAGCTTTTTGTCAGTTTAGATACACTCTGAAAGCAATCGCTTTAATAAATGGTTTAAAAACAGATTTCTAACTATCGTTTAAGACGTACTACAATTGCTGATTGACAAATCTCAGCAAAATGTCCAAGGAAGTTATTTAGACACAAATAAGCAGACTGGATGTGTTGCTTTGTTGTTCCTGCAGACAGAGTCGAGTTCACAGGAAGTCGAAAACAGTTAGAAGCGTTGACCGACTGCTAAGTCTGAGAAAAAGTCCAGTCTAGTCATGCTTCTTGACATGACCATGAATATTTTCAGAGTTCACCATGCTCCAACAGACATATTTGAGGTTATTTTGGTGGGGGCTGCAGATGCTGTTCCTGTCTCAACTTAATTACATGTTCTGCGTTTCTCTTGGCCTCACAAAGAATTATCCTCCTCACCCAATAGATACCACCGATTACCAAAACCCAAAATATGCGAAGCCGCAGCAATCCATGCAGCTCAACTTCCACTCCGTTTTTCTCGTCCCTAAATTTACAAACCAAGTTGGATCCCTGCCGTGACTTTGTGTAATCTATTCTCCGTTTCCAGCATTTCTTGACGGAATGCACACCGCTCTCTACATTTCATGTCTGAGTCTTGAACTAAAATAACTTAATGCTGAAAAGGAACAAAGCTCTAGTTGTTTGATCAAGCCTTATAAAAGGCGTTATGCAAGTTCTCATTAGATATAACAAGATTTGCCTAGCTGTATCATCGCTCAGTTTATGTGCTGGGAATGACTCTCAGCTACTACCACACCAAATTTAAGGTCAACTTTTCCAAAACTGACAGAGTTACAGCCATTTTTGTGTTTTCTAAGGGGTTGACTCCAAACATTAATAAGTTGTAGATGCTCATCCAATGATTACTTTATAAAAGTTTGATTAACACCAATCTACGAGTTCCTTAGATATTATGCTAACACTACAAAAGACCACACAGACATGAACATGAGTTGGTCTGGAACAGCAGAGTTCTTACTGTGATTCTACTTGACCCAAGTTCAGCCTTCTATCCTCAACAGACTAACCTCCATTGACATCTCAGGTACTCCATTAGACTGGTTTGAATCTTATCTCTGAACAAACTCAATTTATTCAGCTTAAATCCTTCCATTCTCTGTCTTCCTCCGTCTCCAAAGGTGTGCCCCAAGGCTCTTTCCTCGGACCTCTCCTCTTCATCATTTACCTTCTTCCTCTAGGTCACATCTTCTGCAAATTTGGTGTCCATTTCCACTGTTATGCTGATGACACACAGCTCTACTTGTCAACCAAACCAAACTCCACTCACCCACCCTCCATCCTCACGGACTCTCAGTGAGCTCAATCACTGGTTTTCCAACAATTAACTTCAACTAAACAGTGACAAACAGAAATCATCCTTGTCAGTACCAAAAACTCTATTTCAAAATCAGAACATCTTCTCGTCCCCCTCAACAACTCTCTGATATCCTCCTCGCCTCAGGTCAAGAGTCTCAGTGTCATCCTCCACTTCACACATCAACAATGTTACACGGTCTGCCCATTTCCATCTCCGAAATATTAACCGTCTCCGCCCTTCTCTCACACCTCACTCCACAGCCATCCTTGTTCACAGTCTTGTGACTTCCCGGATCAACTACTGCAACTCCCTTCTTTATGGCCTCACCAACAAATCTCTCCAGAAGCTACAGAAGGTCCAGAACTCAGCTGCCCGTGTCATCACTCAAACCTCCTCCTGTAATCACATCACTCCTGTCCTGCAGCAGCTCCACTGGCTCCCGGTTAAATCACGCATCGTCTTCAAAATTCTTCTCCTCAGTTTCAAAGCTATCCACAACCTTACCCCTCCGTACCTATCTGACCTCCTACACATCTCCATTCCCTCTCGCTCTCTCAGATCCTCCTCTTCGCTGCACCTCCATGTACCCTCTGCCCGCCTCTCCACCATGGGGAGCAGGGCCTTCACCTCCTCTGCCCCTCACCTCTGGAACTCTACTGCCAGACCTACAAAACACCACCTCTCTTTCTCTGTTCAAGACTGCTCTGAAAACACATCTCTTTAGACTCGCTTATCCTTCTTAACTTTGTTTTATGCATTTTATTTTTCAATTTATTGCTGTTGGTCTTTGCACCGATTGTTTTTACACAATCTTATCTGATACGTTTCTTGCTGTAAAGTGTCCTTGGGTGTCCTGAAAGGCGCTTCTTAAATAAAATGATTATTATTATATTATTATTATTATTATGATGCAAACCAGACTGAAAATAATTGCGAGTAAACAAATGTTGCCAGCAGTGTTGACTTCTTGTTTTTGTCAATAGTGCAGCTCATGTCAGAAACAAACATCTTTAGAACAAATCGTGCGTCTCTCCTGAGGGATATCGCACATCAGTTTGTTTACACGAGTCATAGCTTTGCAATAAACGTGACAAAACTGTAAAAGAGTGCAATATTTTCACGTTTACTTCACGTTGGAGGGACTCCTCACCTGTGCCGAGAAGATTTTGGGATAAGACAGGAAGTGATTCCGCAACACTTTCACAATAAGGTCGAGCTCTCGCAGATATTGTCTTTCTTCTGCAATTTCAAGCCTAATCAGCTCGTCGTACGTGAGCTCCCCAAAGGACAAGGGCTCCTCCGTGCACTGGGACAACAAGCCGATGTCCTCCTGGTCAAACATGTCCATCAATACCTACAATCAAACACAAGGTAGACCCAATCAGTAAAAACTAACAAAACTAAATCTTCATTTATCAAGTGTGACCGTTTGACTCTCACTTTGTCGGCGCACATGGACACCTTGATGTCCTGCTGGGTGATTTCAAAGTGACGGATGTTGCCGACATAGTTGCCTGCCAGTTTGAGGATATCTGCTGATATGTATTCGAGCACGGCCGCGATGTAGAGAGAAACGTGGTAGTCCACTTTGTAGCCCAAAACCTCCTAGTTTGAAATAAAGATAAATGTTTTTTTTAAGGCAAAAATAATTAATAAACAGCAGCTGTAACAAAATATTATTTAGTAAACTGGTTTTAAGAAGGAAGACAGGGCTGAGCTATGCAGAGGTTTTTACCTTCAGCATCGGGTGTATCTTGTCCACAGGGAGAAGTAACGGGTTTCTTCTTTTACGTTTCTCTATAGCTGCCATGGCGTCGTTAATTGCCCATTTATCTATAGGATGTGGAAAAGTTTTCTGCACCCGTTCCTGTAGAAAAAAAGAGAAAAGAAAAATGTGTTGGCATCAGAAGACTGGAACACAGAACAATGTACAACAGGTCATTATTGCTGTTACATCATCTACATAACAGGATAATATAACAGAGTTAGATAAAAAAATAAATAAAGTCAAACGCAAAGCATCACCAGGTGAACTAACATAAATCAAAAAAGTATAGAAAGAGGTAAAATACAAAAGCATTACTAAAAAAAAAAAAGAGTGCATTATTTTATAATACGATACCCCCGCGACCCGAAAAAGAAGAAGGGAGTAAAGATAATGGATTAATGGATGAGATCAGAAAATGCATTTTAATAGGATCCCCTGTGGTTGATTTTCCACTAAGGAACACTAGAGGGCAGTAATGTTACTGAGAGAGTACAGGAGCGCTTCATAACATTCTGACAAAGAAAGAAATTCATTTAGGACCTGTAGGTTTCATCAGTAAGAAAAGTTGACGACACAAAAATAAATAAATATAAAAAGACAAGAACAAAAATAAATATGCGGCTGATTTTCCTTATAGACATATAAAATAAAAGTATGCAAGCATGTAAAAAGCTTTGCTCACACGTGTACATGTGAAAGAAGCGCTTACCTCCACGTCCTGCACAGAGCGGGGCTGCGCCATGCACAGCATGTTGAGCAGCTGCAGGATCAGCTCTTCAACGTACTGGAGGGCGTCCTCCTTCGCCGTCAGGTTTGGGTGGACCTGCTTCTGTACCTGAAGGTCGCACACGGACAGAAAACAAGATTCAGTGCCGAACTGCAGAGGAGTTCATTTGTCTTTAAGCAATATGACCAAGAAAAAGAAAACGGTCATTAAAAGTTGGGGCAACAAGCGACCCGTGGTGAAAAGGTAAAATCTGAGATGGATCAGATCATGTTGGTGTCTTTCACTGCTCCGACAACAAATGTTAAAAATAATTTCCTAACAGAGCACAACTAGCTGCAGACACCCCTCACACACAATCACACACGTGGCAGAGTGAAGACGGGTTCACAAACACGGAGGAGTCCGTCTTGGACCCTGACGATCCAGTCCACTCCAGTCCCTCTCGTGTTTAGGTCTGATTTCAGCAGACAACTAAATGTCCATAAAGTCGAAGACCGATCATCGACGGATGAATGCACGTCACCCATCTTTCATGTCAGAGCTTTAGACCAAGATCGTTTCCTAAGCCGACCGTTTTCTGGCGTTGTAGCTGTTTTGGTCAAACCTCAGAAAGGACGTTACGAAGTGCAAGTGCTCGGATATTGTGCTGAAGATGACTCTAAACTACCACCACACCAAATGTAGTTCAAAGTCAGTGACACCGACTGTGAAACATCTACTTCTATTTCTGTGTTCATCAACTGGCCATCTTGAATTGGACTGACCCCTAAAATCGATCAGTTTTCAATCTACATCCATCGATTCCTCTGACGGACATCTGTCACCGCCGGTGGACAGTTTTTATTTTTATTTTATTTAATCCACTAAATAAAATAAAAACAGGGGTGCGCACCATCGGAAAATCCACCGCGCACCACCCGCGGTGTGCACCACACACCACCACCATTGGAGAATCCACAACCACCGCGGTGGTTTATTTTATTTAATGGATTAAATAAAATAAAACTAACTTTTGCTGCTTAATAGTTTTGATTTTCCTGTTACTTATTTTTCAGTCTGATAAATGGTCGGAGCATAAATATATGATCCCAATGTTTTATCATTTTATTTTCTTTATTTTTCTGTTTTTGTAAATAATAAATGACAGGTTTGTTTTAGCGTCTTCAGTTCCTATGACATCATCGACTAGTCGACGTCAACTCGACTACCATCATGTTACTGTCAACTTTAAAAAACGTGTAGTCGTTCAACCCCTAGTAGCCATCTTGAATCGGTTGAATCCAAACGTTAATCAGTTGTAAATGTCAACACATCAATTAGTTTCTAAAAGTTTAATTAATAACCGCTCAGTGATTTAGGCGATATCTTGTTAACAAATAGTTAACAGCTAAAATTCAGACACAGATTTTGCAGAGTGGGTGCTCAGAGTGAGGATCAGTGGCTACCGCACTAGATTTTAGTCCATTATCTGTAAAATTGAGTTAAAAAATATCTGTTTTTATTTGTAGCCATTTTGGTCAAACCTTGAAACAGTATGCAGTTTCACACATGTTCCACAACGTGTTGCACTCAAACTACATGTTAGGAGCAATGCTCAGCTACTGCAGCTCCAAGTTTTAGCTCAATTTCTGTAAAAGTCATTTCTGTGTTGTCTAAAGTGAGTTAGCTGTGGCGGCCATCTTTAATTAGACTAAGTGACATGCTGATCAGGTGTAAATGAAAATCCAGTTCAAATTTGTTCAGTGGGTCATGAGATATTTTGCTAAAAATGTAGACGAAAATATGCTCAGATAATCAGAGAAAATGAAAAATGCCTTTTCAGGAAAATTTCTAAGATTTAAATTAATTACACCGAGACAGAAAAAATGTGACTCGCAGCTTGGCTTTGTTTACGTTTCTGTACATCATTTCTGTTTTAATCCGCACTCAACACCCATGAAGTCATCAAAAAAACACAAGTTTAATGTCAACTGATATCAAAGGAGAAGTAGGTTATGAGAGTCTTTAATCCCTCAACAGTCACTTGACCAAATTCCACAGGACACCGGGAGCTGTGAGTCACCACTGTGAAACTACGGGGTTTTCCCTGAGCCTCATTCACAGAACAGTTGGCCCATTTCTCAGAGGCCACGTCCGACCAGTGTGGTCCATCTCCAACAATGTCAGGATGAGAGACAAAGGAAAAATAATGCACAGAACCCAGAAAGAAACAAAAAAATGAAAGTGAATTCAGAACACGTGACAGCTGAAAGAGCACCAAGATGATCAAGAATTTGTTGAATATCACTGACGTTGAATCCTTATCCCTTTAGACAAAGTACACATGTATGATAATTATGTGCCGATATGAATATACCCCTGAAATGCTGGAATGAGCCGTAATTGTACATTGTATCCAGCAGAGGGAGCATGACGAATACTTTCAAGTCTTGGCTTGGATGCATGGATCTGCCTAGCTTAGCTTCATGGATGCTAACAGCTGTGCTAAATAAACAAGCCCCACTCCACTTTGTTTTCTTAGATTCTTGGGGAGGACAAAGCTCAAGAAATTTCAGCCATTATATCAGTTTTTGGCATTAACCTTCCCCTTCCAATATCGGTAGCCAAAATTTCTATTTATCAGTCAGGTTCTAATAATTACCTTCCATCAGAGGAAATGAGTTTGATGTTCTAAATTATTCTTGGTAGTCCTAACCATTTCTTTTTCCATTTTTTTCAATATTAAAGGAAATTCTCTCTACAGCACAAGTAAACTGCTCCGAGCATTAGCCATATTGATTTGAACATCACAGCTAGCTTCACGTAGCTTCACGTAGCTTCACGTAGCTTCACGTAGCTGCGGTAAACTATGTGACATGTAAGACAACCGCATGCTGGTGCGGCTTGCCCTGCCAGAACCCACAGACATGAAAGTTGAGAACAAAAAGTTTTATTCCGTGGAAAATGTAACCTACAGTTTGTTTAATGTGAGCGCAGTTAGCAACAAATAATCTTGCATTGTGAACAAACCACTACTTTTTTGGGCCAGCTGGATATTTTTGAAAACTTTTACACGTCTTAACACTGCTCCAAACACAAACCTTTTGTTTTTATATTTTAAGTAAAACTGAGACAGAGCAGACAAACACACGCAGCGCAGAGTACCGGCAGAGGAAAACTTGTTCCTGGTTACTGAAACGGTTAGGTAAATTAACAAGATAAACTCATTAAAATATGTGTTGACTAAATATATCGATGATGACCAATTATCAAATTTGACATAACTGAATTATTGAATTTCAAAGCACCATATGGTTATAGTATAATACAATCAAGTAAATTTTCTTGTGCCAAATATTGAAACTAAAACAAACAGAAAAATAGATGCTCAAAAACAGCTTTTGCTTTAAAATGACAAAAAACTTTTCACTAAAATCTACCTACAATTAATAAATACTATACAAGAATGGTGACTTAGTGCTAAACGAATCAACATGAACACATTAAACATGCATAACCTGAAAGCATGATACTTGAACTATAACAATCTATGACTTCAGTCCAAGCAGCTCTTTGCAAAAGTGATATTATGATGAAAAAATGATATATTATGCAGCTCTAACACAGGCCACCTAAAAAAAACACATAAAAGCTTCCTCTAAATAGTAAGAAAATGTATTTTTTTCTAAGAGAAACCGTAAACGCAACATTATGTCAAACACAAAAACAACAATTTGACGTCAGTATGAACTTTCTGTACAGCGCAGCATTAAATGCAACGCTTGCAGAGCTGCATCTGAGCAGTTTGATAGAGGAACAAAGATGCAGGTCACTGGAGCACAAGCTGAATTACGTCATCATTTTGATGCACGTGTCACCCGTAACACACGGAGTGATGAAGTGTTGTGCGTGGAAGAAGGATAAGGTGATAACAGAGGCAGCATGGTGTTAATACAAGGATTGCATTTCTAATTTAATTGATTTGTCTCCTGGCTGTGTATATGGAACAGCATCAGGCTCAGGTTACTGGTACTGTGACGTACGTGCGTGTGCATGTGTGTGCGCGGCGGGGCTCATTATTATACTGGAGCATGTGTCACTGTTTATGATTCATGCCATGACATCATCTGCCATTACAACCAGACCGTCTGGGGATCCACTGGGCAGAGATCAACTGAGACAACAGGCACACATCCAGAAACAAAGGAACAACAACAACAACACGCAGAGGAGCAGACAACAAGAGACAAGTACACAACAACAAACCACACTCTGACCTAAACATATTCACACGCGTGACCTTCTGACATGTAGCTCCCCTCCCACACACATTCTGATCATAAACACGACCAACAGGCATGCAGCCAACACATGGCCTCTTCCTGACCACAGCCTGACCTGACCCAGTGACCTGTGCCTGCACTGCCCACTCATCCTTCATCCAGATCTCCACCCAGAACAAGCCCATGTTCAAAGACCTGGTTTCACTCAGTGGAACGAGTGCAAAACCAGCGTTTTAACCGACCCGGCAGCCTGGGGGCAACACGCAGGAAACACAACCTGTTACTAGGAACATCAAAACATAAGCTCATCCTGGAGATGAAGAGACCCACCTATGCATGACATCACATGGTGCTGATTAAATCATGTCCTTGGCATCTTACTGGTTCTGCTTTGGTGGTTTTACTGAAATCAGTCACTATGCACATGTGAATTAGACTTTGAAAACCAGAATGGTCCAGACAGATTATCCTGAAACCAGGGCTTCAAAAACCACGTTCAGAAAGTAGCTCAGAATGTATGCGACCAATAAATGTCTACTTTTCTTTTAACTAACCTTCACATCTGATGTGTCACTTGGATCGTTGGAATCTGAGGCAAATGTCCCAGTGGTCAGGGATTCTTCTAACAAACGTACTTTTACATTAAATTTAGACAGATTTAAAGATCTTGCCCACTCTGATGAAGTGAACTTAATCTGATCTTAGAGGCAGAAGAGGCAACAAACCCAGAGTTTTTACTCGGGGGGGTTGGTAGTAAAATAGTTTTGTTTTCATAAATATTTTAGCTTTGGGCTAAAGAGAAGTTAAGTGAAGAGCAGAATGTATCCAACAGCTTGGCTTGGACAA